CTTATTATATTTACTGTGTTAAAACTTCAACATTGTTCAAGTAGCACCAAAATTTTTCAGACCTTAAAATGTTTCTCCACTCTATATTAAAACCTCACAAAAGTAGCAGTTCTGGGCTGGTGTCCTGTTATAGCCACAGCTGGCATCTGTGACTAACTCATTCTCTAATGCTGGTCATCCAGAACCACTCATACAAGCCATCTGGATTCTGCCAGGACAAGAAATGGCAGATTAGTTCTGAAATGAAGTAATCTTTTTCCTTTTAAAAATAGTTAAATAGGGCCAGCAGGTGGCATGGTGGTTAAGGTGCTGAACTCCCACATGACCAACCATGGTTCAAATCTTAGTCCTGGCACCTTGCTTTCTCACTTTCCCTCTCTGTCTGTCTATCTCTTGTCAAATTTTAAAAATAAATAAATAAATAGTCTGTTGAGGATGATGTGTATAGTATTTCTAACTGGATTGGCTGAGAAATGTATACATGTTGGAATATTCACTTTGCAAACTAATTGACATACGTGATTGAACATATCAAAGAAATTGAAATAAATATTTTTTTTAATTAAGCAAATATAATTCTTTAAAATAGTTAAAATTTTTAAAACTTGTTTAACTTTCATCATTGGAAACTTTTAATTATATTCATCACATCTCTTTCAAGTAATTCTCTAAACTCAGAAACTATAAGGTCCCAAAGGATCATGGTAAAGGTAGTTTCAATGTTTTCTGCCCCAAAGGCTACTCTCTGAAGTAAATATATGCCTCATACTCTCAGTGACTGTGATCAGTGCAGAAAATTGATTATTCGTTTTATTGCACTATGATTTATTATATTCTCCAGTTAGAATACGGATAATGCTTATCCATGGGGAAAAATATGTTCAGATACGAGGTCTGTCTGGTAAGATAGAATCTACATGGTATATGTTGTTTAATTTGTCCCCTCTGTTTTTTCCTCTATCACATTTAAGACAATTTTGTGATATTTTAATATTATTTTCCATACATGCTCATTGAAATGGTTCAAAGTGCAGCACATTCTCCAGAAATGTCAAGAATTTCTCTTTCCAACTATATTTTGGGATTTGTGGACTCCATAGAGCATCAAAGGAAATGCCTTACCTATAAATCACTACTCACTAGATTTTCTGGTCAAGAGAGGCCTGTTCTTACAGACCCACTATCATCTATGTTCTTAGAATTGAATATAAGAAGGAGAAAGCCTAGAGTTCACAGAACACTGGACGTGCTTTCCAGACATGCTACTTCTCAGCTCTGAAACTACTAACAAGTAACAGAGTCAACCTGAGAATAAAAGCCATTTCATGGAATTTTTGAGAATATTAAGTTAGACAGCATGAGTGAAATACCTACCACATGAGAGATATTCTCAGAGACAGACAGAGGCACCGAAAATAATTAGTTTTCATATGACTGTGAAATCAACAGCTCCTAAATGAAATATGGAAATGGTTTCATCTTTATTTTTAATTTACCTTAGTTTCTATTCTTGTTGGTAAGTTCTTTCATTTGGTTTTATGAATACACACTTTTGTCATCTGGAGATTAATCTCCCCTTTCTAAAGCATGCTTCAAAGTGAATTATAAGGGTATTGTTAATATTGCTATTAGTATTAATTATTTGGGTAGTAATATTTTGTCTTTCATAATTTAACCAAAATAATACTCACAACTTTCATGTAAATAATGTGAGAAAGCAGACATAGGCTTTCAGTTTTGATGTTTTTTTCATCTGAAGTGCCCAACAGAAATCAATGCATGCAATAATAAATTACTCAATAAATTTATGTTGATTTGACTAGAAAAAGTAAAAGCCCCTTCTACATCTAATACTTTCTAATTCTCTTATTTTTATCCCTTGTATCTAGTAATACTGATGAATTTAAAGACAACAACATCAACAACTTGAATTATGTACAATTGTGTGGGTAAGCACTGATAAAAACTTGAAGAAATTAGTGCAAGCTTAAAGCTGGTCCTCTAGTAATTGTGTCACTTTGGGCATTTTCCTTTAGTTGCCTTTTCTCCAACTGTAAAACAAATCTAATTGCTATCTTGATTACGAAATGGTGATGGAAAGGGTTTAGCATAGCTGTGAGATTGTGTGTGTGTGTGTGTGTGTGTGTGTGTGTACCCACATATAATTTTTAAAATATTGTCTATTTGGTTCCCAAATTTGAAAGAAAGCTATGTACACCAGTCATCAGGGAATAGCAGTGGCTATAGAAGAAAATTGATCCATAGGGCAAAGTCCTTGAGATCCGGATATTTAAAAAAGAAGAAAAGAAGAGGAGGAGGAGGAGAAAAGGAGAAGAAGAAAAAAGAAGAGAAGAAGAAGAAGAAGAAGAAGAAGAAGAAGAAGAAGAAGAAGAAGAAGAAGAAGAAGAAGAAGAAGAAGAGGAAGAAGAAGAGGAAGAAGAAGAAGGGAAAAATGACAAGAGAAAAAAGGAAGTAGGGAAAAGAAAAGCAAGGGGGAAAGATTAGAAATCTATTTCTAACTTTGACAAAGGTATATTTCTAGAGGAGTTAATTTAAATAGCAAAAATGTGTATTTCAATGGCAAAGTTTTTATAATTTTTTGGTAAAAAATCTAATTAGCTGGTATATGCCATTTACTCTGACAACATTTTTTTTAAGTCTACCAATGACAATTAGGGGGAACATAAAAAATTACAGCCCCTTGTTCTAAATCAGATAAGATTGAATATAAATAGCTTTCTATGGAGATGTTGAAAATGGGAGGAGTTATCTCACTGAAAATTTGTAACCAGCATGCCAGATCCCAAGGAACTTATCATTTGTTACACTGAAATCATTCTCTCAAGTATAGTTTCCGTATCTCTTCACCACAGACTTTGGTTCACTTAAGTCAACACAGAGATATCTAGATTTTAGTTTCTCAGAGCTGTATTATTTAGAATTCAAAAGTTAATATCAGATTATGTATTCTATGGTCTTAGATCATATTCTGCAAAATGGACATTCAAGCATATTTTAAAGTTCTATGCTCCAGACCAAACCTTAGGATTTACTGTGGCTAAGGTTAGCTAAGGTTTTGAATAATTTATTATTTAATACAGCTCTGAGTTTCTGGATTAGATAATATTTCTTCCTGATGCTCAGGATATATCCTCTTACTATGCCAGTAATATTTATTTACTCATAGATGATTAGACACTTTGTCTCTAACTTGTCTGTTTGCTATTGTGCTTAGTTGAGTATGTCCACTGGTGAAAAAGTTTTGCAATTCTAGGGACCAGCAGTTAGCGTAATGGCTATGTCGCTGGACTCCCACGTAGTCGACCGCAGTTCATGTCCTGGACCCGGTGGCTTAAAACTCACGCCAGGCGCGTGTGCGTGCGTGCCCAAGATACCGAGAGGAGAATGGAGGAGAAGGGATTGCGGCGTGGCCATCCCCCCTGGGGGGTGATTTCTCGCTTTCTGTCTCTCTGTCTCTCTCTATCTGTCTGGCGAGCACACACGCCCTATAGCAAAAACCTCTCAAAAAAAAAAAAGTTTTGCAATTCTATCAAAAATACTAATATTAGTACCCCTATTTTTTACTGATACATTTATTTGTTAAACAATGATTGGTCTTCAATAAATACTTTTATTCCAGTATTTTAAATTTATATATAGGAACTATTTTTCCACCATGTGGTCCCAAACCAATGAAATGGTCTTTCCAAATGTTATTTTACTTCACTTTCATAGTATTGAATAAATTTGGGTTCCTAGCATTCTTTCAACATTGGTTTCTGTCCTTCTGTCTCTCTCTATCTGTCTGGCGAGCACACACGCCCTATAGCAAAAACCTCTCAAAAAAAAAAAAAGTTTTGCAATTCTATCAAAAATACTAATATTAGTACCCCTATTTTTTACTGATACATTTATTTGTTAAACAATGATTGGTCTTCAATAAATACTTTTATTCCAGTATTTTAAATTTATATATAGGAACTATTTTTCCACCATGTGGTCCCAAACCAATGAAATGGTCTTTCCAAATGTTATTTTACTTCACTTTCATAGTATTGAATAAATTTGGGTTCCTAGCATTCTTTCAACATTGTTCTATTCATACTTTTTCATCCAATAATAAAAGTACACTTATGAAAATAAGGCACAGGGACCAGCAGTTACCAAAATGGCTATGTCGATGGACTCCCATATAGTCGACCACAGTTCACGTCCCAGACCAGGTGGCTTAAAACTCACACTGGGCACGTGTGCATGCGTGCACAAGATCCCAAGAGGAGAATGGAGGAGAAGGGATTGTGGCATGGCCATCCCCCCTGGGGGGTGATTTCTCCCTTTCTGTCTCTCTGTCTTTCTCTGTGTTTCTGGCCAGCGCATGCGCCCTATAGCAAAAAAACTCTCCAAAAAAAGGAAAGAAAATAAGGCACAATGCAGGAATAAAAATGTACAATGTGCTCACATGCTCATGTACTCATCTTCATGCCTAGATTTGACCTCCTCTCACTTGAGGTTACTTAGATCTTACATAATCTGTTTTTACTTCACGCATTGTTTCATCACTTACCTAAGTTCTCGCCAAGTGTAGTGGTATTGTATTGCTTTGCACCTTAAAAACACTATGCTGAGTGGATATACTTTGGACTTTTTTCCTTCATTATTATATTTTACTAAAATACATAAAAATCATTGTTTATAGCTGCACTTCATTTCTTGAGGTTCAGAACAACATTCCATTTTGTTGTTAGTGAGAGTTATCATAAATTTTTCCTTGAGTATATATGTAAGAGTTTATCTTAGGATGCACATGAGAGTAAAATTCCTAGGCTGTAGATTGTGTGGTGGGTAAACCTCTCAAGACAAGGCCACACATTTATTCCAAAGTGATTTCACTAATACTTCCATCAGTAATGCTTAAGAATTCTTTTTAATTTACATACTCTTTATTCAAAAAATCTAATTACCTGTTTTTCTTCAGATATGTCTAGAACAAACTGGACCAAATGCAAGAAGTCAATCAGTCCGTGGTGTCTGAATTCATTATTCTTGGGCTTTGTGATTCATGGGAGCTCCAGGCCTTCTTCCTTGTGATATTTTCTTCACTTTATTTGAGCACTGTTTTAGGCAACATCTTCATTGTGGTCATAATCATTATTGACCTTCATCTCCACTCTCCTATGTACTTCCTGTTAGCCAATCTCTCTTTCATTGACTTCTGCCTTTCCTCAGTTACTACTCCCAAAATGATCACAGACTTTCTCAAGGAAAACAAGACCATCTCCTTTGGAAATTGCATGTGTCAAATATTCTTTGGACACTTCTTTGGAGGGGCTGAAATGATACTGCTTGTGTCCATGGCCTATGACCGTTATGTGGCCATCTGCAAGCCACTTCATTACTCCAGTGTCATGAACAGACACAGGTGCATCAGGTTGGTGGCGACATCATGGATCATAGGCTTTGTGCATTCAATAAGCCAGCTAGTGTTGATTGTAAAGCTGCCTTTTTGTGGACCTAGGGAGTTGGATAGCTTTTTCTGTGATATTCCATTGGTGATCAAGCTAGCCTGCAAGGACACCTATGTTCTAGAAATGTTGATTAATGCTGACAGTGGGATACTGGCAACCCTCTGTTTCATTCTGTTACTGATCTCTTACTCTCACATTCTGTTTACTGTCTGCCTTCACTCTAAGGATGGTGCATCCAAGGCCCTCTCTACGTGCACTGCCCACATCACGGTGGTGGTACTCTTCTTTGGGCCCTGCATCTTCATCTATCTATGGCCACTCAGCATTACCTGGGTAGACAAGTTTCTTGCAGTGTTTTATGCAGTCATCACGCCTCTCCTAAATCCAGCCATTTACACCCTCAGAAACAAAGAGATTAAAAATGCCCTAAAGAGACTATGATGTTAGCTTGTCGATTTCAATGAGTAGTTCAGAATCTTACATTATCAGAATACTTATCGTAAGGCCCCTGAATTAACTGCATCTATACTGTTAATCTGGTCTGGGAAGCATGTTTCAATTCACATATGGAAGTCATGTGAATCTCCAGATGAAAAGTCTGTCTCAATCCTATTCAATTTCACAATCGTTATTGTTCATTGAGTACAAGGTTGTTACCTCTTGGAAAATCTAGTCAGTCTTTGTGAGTCTGATTTTAGCTGTGCTCAAGGATGTCTTAAAAATCAATATTTTTCTGGACCACCAAATTGCATAATGGTTACGTTGCTAGATTCTCATGTAATGGACTGTGGTTCCAGTCCCAGAGACATCAGCTTAAAACTCACACCAGGTGCATGTGTGTGCATGCCCAAAAACCCAAGAAGAGAATGAAGGAGAAGGGATTGTGCATGGTCATCCCCACTGGGGAGTGATTTCTTGCTTTCTATCTCTCTGTCTCTCTTAATCTCTCCAACGAGTGTTCACATCCTTTAAGTAAAAATCTCTAAAAAAAATTTAATATCTTTCTTCTTGTTTGTGTCTTCTTCAATTTTCACCAGTCCATATTTTACAGTTTTCAGTGTACTTTTACTTTGTTGGCTAAATTTATTCTCAAGTATTTTATTAAAAATCAATATTTTTCTGGACCACCAAATTGCATAATGGTTACGTTGCTAGATTCTCATGTAATGGACTGTGGTTCCAGTCCCAGAGACATCAGCTTAAAACTCACACCAGGTGCATGTGTGTGCATGCCCAAAACCCCAAGAAGAGAATGAAGGAGAAGGGATTGTGCATGGTCATCCCCACTGGGGAGTGATTTCTTGCTTTCTATCTCTCTGTCTCTCTTAATCTCTCCAACGAGTGTTCACATCCTTTAAGTAAAAATCTCTAAAAAAAATTTAATATCTTTCTTCTTGTTTGTGTCTTCTTCAATTTTCACCAGTCCATATTTTACAGTTTTCAGTGTACTTTTACTTTGTTGGCTAAATTTATTCTCAAGTATTTTATTCTTTTTTGATGCTACTTTAAGTCGAATTTCTTTCTTGATTTGTTTTTTAGATAGATCATTGTCAGTTGGTAGAAATCCAAATGATTTTTGTAGATTGATTTTGTACCCAGAAAACTGGGATAAAAAAAGGGGAAACATTTTTTATGTTGCTCTGAGAAAAGATTTCTTGCTTTTTGGTTTTATTTTTTTGTTTTTTTTTCTTTTAATATGTACATAACACCAAAACACAAGCACCAAAAACAAAAATAAATAAGCAGAACTATATCAAACTATAAAGCTTCTGCTCAGTAAAGACAACAATCAACAAAATGAAAGGCAATTTATGAAATAGACAAAATACTTGCACGTCATTTATCTGATAAGTAGTAAATGTCCAAGATATATAAGGAATTCACAGAACTGAATACCAAGCACAAAAAATAAATGAATAAATAAATAAATAAATAAATAACTCAATTTTTAAAAGGCAAAGGACTAAATAGACATTTTTTAAAAGAAGAAATAAAGAAAACCAAAAATAATGTGAAAAGGTGCTCAAGATGAATAATCATCACTGAATGCAAAACAAAACCACAATTGAAAATCACTGCATAAAAGAGAAGATGGCTATTATAAAAAGGTCAAGAGATAAAAAGTGTTAGTGAAGTTGTTGAAGAAACGGGAACTCTGTGCATAGTGAATGGGAAAGTAAATTGGTACAGCCACTGTGGGAAAAAGTGTGAAGTTGTTCAGAAAATATCATGCAACTGAAATTCCTCCTCTGCATTTATACTCAAAGGCAATAAAATCAGCACCACACAAATTTGCACTCCCATGTTCATAGCACCATTATTTACAACAGCTAAGATACGAAAGCAATCTAAACACCACTTGATAATGAATGAATAACAAAATTATGGTAAATATGCAAAGGAGCTTCAGAAAGTTTGTGGAAAAGTAATATTGAAGTATGAGTTTATTTTGGTGCAAGAAAATTTTGAAATCTGTGTATTTTCTATGAGTTATTTGTAGTCTATATATTTATATATGGCCATATAAAGTAAGAAAATCCTATCCTTTGCAACAGCAAAGATCTATCTTGAGGGTATTATGCTAAGTTAAATAAGTCAGAGAAAAAAATGAATACTGTACCTTACTTAAATGTGGAATCTAAAAAAAAAAAATTGAACTTACAGAAACAGAGAGCAGAATGGTAGTTATGACGGGGGGGGATGGGAAGTGTCTGTCAAAGAGTAAAAACTTTTAGGAATAAAATGAGTAAGTTCATGGGATCTAATGTACAGCTTGGTGAGCTGATATATGTGAAAATTAATTTCATCTTAGTAATCATTTTATAAAATATACACATATAACCATCATACTGTAAACCTTAAAATCATCCCTTACATTATATTATCAGATCAACATCCGCTTGATGTTCAAAACATACTCATTGACTAGATGTTAGACATTAGGTTACAATTTCAAAAATTATGATATAAACAACACATATTAATTTCCCTGTCACAACACAACTAGAAAGGGCTTAAGTTAATTGGAATTGAGACAAACCGGAGTGAATGTAGAACTACAGGCCTAATGGATGAAACATCCTATCTCTGAGTCTCTCCATATCATTTCTCTTCCTACCATGTACCAACCCTCCTTCATTATCCTTCCCATCCATCATGTTTATTTATCTTGTCTACTCTATTCTTTCTTTCTCTGGGCTTTAAATCCTTCTCTCTCATGAATTTTTTAACTTTAAGACAAGATATAAATTTAATGTTTCATATACTGAGTTTAAATATAAGGAAAATTGGGGCCAACAACCTGCATAATGGTTAAGGTTCTGGACTTCCGTATGGCCGACTACAGTTTGAGTCCTGCATCTGGTGATTTGAAAATAACACTGAGCACGGGTGTGTGTGTGTGTGTGTGTGTGTGTGTGTGTGTGTATGCAGACAATCAAAAAAAAAAAAAAAAATGGAAGAGAACGAATTGAGGCATGGCCAGGCCCCCTGGGGGTGGGAGTGATTTCTGACTTTCCTTCCTTCTCTCTGTCTCTCTCTAACTAGTGCATGCACTCTATGGCAAAAATCTTAAAGAGGGAGAGAGCGAGAGAGAGAGAGAGATTTATATATTTCATAGTTCCTTCAGAAATTTCAGTGCATTAATTAATTTGACTGTAGGTGGTCTGATATCTAAAGCCATTTCAGTAGATTCTAAGGTTATTGTCTATGCTTTTTCATCACCTTTGTATAAAATCTTCTTAAGACTCTAATTCAGCTGCCAAATAATTTCTTAAATAGAAAAGTGATAATACAATGAAACTTAATAATAAATCATTTATTTTAAATATTACAAAATGTTGAGTTCAGAAAATATTTAAAGAAGTATGCTTTTTACAATAAGTAATTCAAAGCTGTTTTCTGTATAAATCATAAGGAAATGGACATAAAAATAAATTAAATATGGAATTATTGGCTACTGAGTTCCAAAGAAATAAATATAGTGGGAGCTAATTTATCTCTTTATGAGAAAGTCATTCATCCATAAATAGAAGAAAAGATAAACATCTATCAATGGTTGTGTGATTAGAGAATTATGATCAGGGCTCTGTAAATAGCTCAAGGTCATCAATGCACTAGCAAAAATACAGATTGCTCTCACACACACAAATGCAAGTTTCCAGTACTCAAAAATCTTAAGGTACATAAGAATAATCTACAAATGAAATATCAAACATATAGGCCCAAAATTTTTTATTAGTTTTGCATAATATTACCCAAGAATTTATGACCTCCTATATTTATTTATTTATTTATTTATTTATTTTATTGAACTTTATATCTCCCATGAGAGAGAGAGAGAGAGACATCTCTCAACAGGGTCTTCATGCCACAATCCATCCTCAAGCCTCAGCCAGCCGTGATCACAGACAG